CTGAAGAAGACTAGCAGTAAGCAGTCGAAACGTCGCGATCTACATCTCAAGTGACTACATCGTGAGACAAAGGATAATACACTTTATTATTACGTTTTCTTTAATGAACGTAAAACTTTCTTTAAGTACTAGTAATATCTGCTTTACTCGAATATTTACATATTTGATTTTTTTCACTTATTTTTTTTCTTTTTTTGTGCATTGTTACTATTCAGTGCGCTATAAATATGATTAAAACAGTTTGTTATAATTGAAGCTGGGAATGACTTAATCTCAGTTCATTTTTATTCAACCATCTAAACGCAATATTATTTTGGGCCGGTGCCCAGGCACCAGTACTCGCTAAGTATGAACACAACTTAAGCCTCAGTTCCACGGGGCTTTATGGAGTGAGCTAGTAAAAAGTCCCGTAAAGGAAACCCATTAATTGATTTTCTCATGGTTATCATGGCTAGCGGTATTGTTCGTGGGCGCTTACGGACGACGAGGACATCGCGCATCATGGCGGCCATACTCTAGTTAATAAGTTGACCGAGACATGCAACCTTGGTTTACAGAGTAAATCTTTGATATTGGACATCCATGTTATGGTCAATTGACACCTCTCAAAACAAGGTATCCGCTGACCAGTATCACGTGACCATATTGCAGGCTCAAGTTTAGAGCTCATCAAGGTCACATATTTTTTAAACTTGACTGCTGACCAAGTCCTAGTTTTCGGTTGGATTGCAGGCTCATGTCGGGTTAACTTGTAAAAAATTGTTTAGAAGCCAGTTAAAGCTCACCCAGGATCAAAAGTTAACCACAGTATAAATTTTTCTTGTATACAAGTGTTTTTCACTGCTTTTGTTATGTGTAGTTTGAGATTATTCAAACTCAAAACAGAAGGCCAAACAATATAATATACAGAAAACCTCACCGCAAAGTTACAAAACTCATATCAAAATTCTCATTTATCCTGGGTTAGCTCAATCAAGCTTTGAACAACCCGGCCCAGGAGCTCTGCTTTTGGGCTTTGCTAAATCTATATATTATAACCAGTGAGTAAGAGATAGAGTAGCGTGATCCTATTTTGGGCTTGGTACACATGTAGTTGTTCCCTTATTGTGGGTTGTTAGAAGTGTACAACTTAGTATCCAAAATAGAGGAATGACAATACATGTATTGCATCATGTTGTATTTTCAATAAATCATTGATGAAATAATCTCTCCCTTTAACAAGAATATATTAGTGCCCTTGGCATCATGGTAATTCTTTGAACATTTTTAATTCTGTATTTTAATTAATTTTCTTCAGGAGCTGATGTTGGAAGTCATGAAAATGGATGAAATCAAATTTACCTCATCTTCAGTGTGGGAAAAGAGAGAAAATCCTAGAAAATACTGGAATGGTAACGAGTGAAATGTATTCTTCACAGTGGAGGAGGAGAAGAAGAAACGTGATTTATTCAAAAATGGAATAAGTGTCTGTGTGAAGACTCTTAATATATTTCAAGAAAAAGAGCCGTGGGCAACTAAGCCAGCAAGGCTGAACTGGGAGCAAGTTGAGTAACAGAACCATATGAGCTGGAATCCTCCAAACACAGGGAAAGAAAGCACACAGCCATGCAGTTGCATTCACACCCTGAGGGACATGTGACATTTTTTCTTCCTTTCCCATGCCTTAAGGTATGGCCTCTGCTACAAAGGCCATTATCATGACATTACCAATGGTTTTGGGAAACTCTCAATAATAATAATTGATCTTTATTTTTGACAGAGTTCTTTGACATGCTAAGTGCAGTGAAATTTCATATGAGTAGGTCCCACACTGGTAGTCAGCTAATTCACAAGGAATTTCCCTTGTTGTTTATGATGTGAAACAACTAACTGGTAATTCCCAGCTGGTTGTCAGATGCATGAAGCAAAAATTGGTCTGCCTTTTGCAGGCAAGTTGTTTGATTATTTTCAAATGATAAAATGTCAGCTTCCTTTGATTTTTGGTCATGAATTTCGATCTGACTTCTTGACAAAATTCTAAAAGTGAAGTTGATTTTTCAATCAACATTTGACATCATTTCTGTTAGCTATTTTTAATTGCTTTCAGACCAATCAAAACCCAAGTTACTTGTCAATAACTTACCCATGCAGTGCTTGGCTTGTTGGTTGGGTGAAGTATTCAGAAAATCAAGATGTTAGAAAGTTGTCAAACATGCTAACATATGGTAACAGTACAATCACTCTCAGTAACAATGATGATTATTGGTTTATAAGCTTGGTTTTCAAAAGATACCGGTACTCATTTTATGACATTCCAGTTTTTTTCTTGACAAAATTATTTGTCACAAATTATTATTTTATACTAGTTGGATCTCTTTCTAAATAAACCACAGAAAAAACTGTGAAAGGTGTTTCACTTTAAAATGAGTAGGTTTGTTACATTGATAACATTGTATTAACAATATTTAACATTAAAAATAACAAATAAAAAAAACATTCTGTAAGACAGAATTTCCATCTAAATTTAACATGATCCTACCCCATGATACATGATACCCAGCGGTAGATAACTGAAGAGACAGCAGGGAGGTGAAGCAAAAGTTAAAATGGACAAAATCAGCTCAACAAAATTTGCATTTATTTCATCAAGCTGAATATTTGTTTTAGTTTTGTCACACCCCAGTTGGCTGTCCTTGGGTCTCTAAGAATAGGCAGTCCTTTTTTCGTAGTGTCATCCCCTGAGTTTGCCAACTGCAGGACACTGCTCGTAAGTAGGCTCAATGATGAAGCCATACACATAATACATGTACTACATGTTCTGTAAGGAACTGATTCGCTAAATGTCTTTTGATAAGTTCTCAAATGATTCTTTTTTTCTCATACACCAAACATGGGTCACCTGAAGGGGAAGTACCTCTCTATTAAATACAGAGTTTCAAACACAACCTGCAAAAGGAACAAGATACAACAGATAAAACGTTAATTTAAAACATTGTTCTAGTTTAGGATCAGCTTTTGTTAGGCAGTTGCAAGCTGTCCTGTTGTTGAAGGTTTGAGCTCATAAGTCAGTTGTTGCAACTCTTAAAACAAATACCAAGGAATGGTATAATTATTATTGGCACATAAGCAAGGCTTAAGAGCAACTGCCAGCTACTATTTAATTATAAAGAAACAAAAATTAATTAAGGAAAATTAACAGTAGCATCCATGGAATGGCTCTTTATCAACTGTTTCTGGATCAAATTAGAATTTATCTACAATGTGCAGTAGTACTTAAGTGTTAGGTTTTTAGGGAGAACCTGGAGAAAAAGCCTTGGAGCAAGGAACAGAACCAATCACAAACCCAACCCACATACAGCGTAACCAATATGAGTCTTTTAAAAATTTTGCACAGCTTCACAGGTTTGCAATGCATACAAAGGACTTCAGGTGCATAGCTCTCTCCATGGCACTCTAAAAGGTCTCTTTATTAAGGTATTATTTTCAAAAGCTTTGTATCATATGCAATTGTGTGGTTGCAGAAAATATCCATACCTCCACCCAGGAAGGTTATTTTGTACTCCAATCCCCCCCTGGAATTTCCAGTTTAGCTTCCTTTCTCAGGGGTGGATCCAGGATTTTTCTTAGGAGGGGGTGCACCACTAAGGAATAGTGTAACTGACTGGTGAGGTAAACAAATTTTAAAAATCATCTCAAGGAGGGGGGTGCATTCCCTGCTCCCTTCTCCTAGATCTGCACCTGATACTTTCGCTGTTGAGACCCCCTACTCCCTCAGAATTCTTTTGAAGGGGTATGGATATTTTCTGGACCTGAAAATTGTGAACTCCATACCTCAACAGTTATAAGTGCAATAATACCCCATTCCAGTCTGAAGGAATGCTTTTCACTGAGGTGTGTCCTTAATAACTCCACCATCTCAGAGCAATGATTTAATTTCTCATTCATCACCTTGTACAGAACCAAAGAATTATTACCAAATGTCATGAAATGTATATATTAGGAAGTGTGGTTTTAATATGGATAAAGAAAGTGCAGGTTCAAGGCTGGTCTTGGCAAGACACATTACTACTCTCAGACTGTTCCAAGTGTGCCTTTGCTCATTCCAATCCATTTTAGGGAACAATCTACCTGTGGCCTAACTTTACATTAATTTTTTGAACTAGTGAGACAGTCTCAGATAGTGCAGAGTGCAATTTAAATACTTAGGGGTCAGGTACAGTGGTCACACAGGTCCTCACCCCTGCCGTTCTCTCCCTTGGTAGTCAACTACATGTAGGCCTTTTCTCCCTTCCACAAAATTTTGACAAGACATAATCTTAGCAGTGTGCATGCTTCATGTTTGTATTGTCTTTCAACTATACTGAAATGCCAATTTTATTTCCTAATATCAACACTGTTTAATGTGAAAGTATTTTCTGTGACTATAGGTAAAACGTTTACCCTTGTCCTTTTGTGAACATCCAGGTAAATACATGTTTTATCATACAAGCTTTCCAGGTTTTCACGATCCCAGTAAAAATCTGGGGTCTTCAGAAGGTCGGAAGACAAATTGATCTTGTATCTAAAGGAGAACAAAGGCACTATCAGCACATACAAAACAATACCAATCAATCAATCAATATTATTCATAAACAGTTTGAAACACACTGAGTTGTGAAATATTATTTAAATTAATAGATTAATTCATACAAATATTGTATTTAAGTTCCTGCATACTAGCATACCTGAGAGAAATAAGTTCTCCTGTTTTCTCTAACACCTCCTTTCTTGACATCTTTACTTTTATTCCTCTTTTCAAATCCTTAATTTGTAAAATATTAACAATATTAGGCCCATTGGCAAACCATTGAACTGTTGAGCTAGACCAGCCATTTCAGGGCTGTGGTCTAGAAGAGCTCAGGTGCCACAGCTGACTAGCTTTTGCCCTTGAGACTCCTTGTAATTCTTCTTACACCCCAGCCTTACATTTGGCTTGGTTAATGTCTTGCATTTATAGTCTCAAGAAGGGTGGAGCATTTTAATACAAATGGAAGAAAGAACTGTGTACTTTCATGTAGCACCTACATCAAAGAGTTATATTATTTAGTAGCCACAAACAGCGTATAAAATAATTTTTATTTATTGAATGGAGTTGAAGATCAAAATCCAATAATTTGCAAGGCACTAGGTCATAATCAAGGTTCCTACAAAGAACTGCTTTGAACATCAGGTGAATAAAAGCAATGGCTTCAATAATCTATAGACTCATTTACCTCTGGGACCCATCGTATGGACAGTATATACTCATCTAAGACATCTTCCCAGATGGCAAGTTTAACTACGGTGTGGAAAAACAAAAGAGAAACATCCCCTTCATGATTGATTTCTTACTTATTTTAACAACCATGATTTGAAACAAAACTCTTGTTTGAAAAGTATTAATTCTAGGCCTACGAATAGTTGTTGACATGATGACCAAGTTAAATCCCAAATGACAGAAAATCTACATCTTGAAAGGCACTGGCATACCTACAATAAATTGGTATGGATGGTACAGTACATGTATAAACTCGGAGAGTGAAGTGCCTTGACTAGGAACATTCCAGATTACTGTGCATTTAATTATAGCTGTAAATTATATTGCTATTTTATTATCAACTTCACTTATTAACTAATTTTTTTTTTATTTAATTCTACATGTATTTAACACAGCTTCAATGTATTAATCTGTTGTTAAACTGTTTGAATACTCCTCATCCATCTGAGTGTTTGCCCATCCGTCCATCTGTCTGTCTGTCTGTCTGTCTGT